CATTCTTGCTAATCTTCACAGACTTCTTGTGAAACACATGGCAACTTGCCAATGAGTAAATAGCTTTGCCAAACTGGAGCACAGCCTGTCCTTACCTCTCCTGTGAGTGTGAAACACGTTTCACTTGAGTCTGATGGAGAGAGACCCTGATGGGGATTTGGTTTATTGTCAGAGTGATGCTGTCTGCACATCATTTTTCTGCTGAGTGAAAGCCAGATGCAAGTTTAGGCTAAAAGATCATGCCATGACTGTGATACTGGAACTCAAAGGGACAAAGAGTGTTAATAAGTGTCCCATCTGATCTCCCAGGTGGCACAGCAAGGCCAGCTCTTGTGTTGGTAAGAAGGGATGCTGGAACGCTGCAGTTGGCTGCCACTACAGGCCACAGCCAGGCTATAGCATCTTGGTGTGCCCTATTATAACCCTCACCAGAGCCTGCTGGCACTGCAGAACATTCAGCTAGGGGATTTAACATCCCAAATTGCCATCCATCAGAGCTCATGTAAGGGTGCCAAGAAACCTTACCTCCAATCAGGCATTAAGCCTCCTATTTTGCAAGGTCTGCTGGTCCATGACAACTGGGTTAGTACAGATCCCAGCTCTGCTGACAAAGCAATTCCTGTCACAAAATCTCGCTTTTATACAGACAAGTTTCTGGTGGCCATCACACTATCAGACACCAAAACAGATTTAAAGCCCTCATATGGTCTCCCATCTGCTTCCACAGCAGTGGAGTAAGGTGAAGTACTTGAGCAAAGCAGTTGATTATTTGTGAAGGAATATGTGTAGCCAAAATGTTCTTCTCCGCCTGGATGGTTGCATCTCTCTGTATAGGAATAGCTTCCATCAGCCTATAAGATAGCTTCAGGAAAGCCAGATTTTTAAATTATTTATTTATTTATTATTATTTTTAAGTTAAAATATTCTATAGGCTAAATATAAGCATGTATCATCATGGTTTTGGCTGATCCACTGGAGAGATTAGATAGTAGGGCAGCGTTCTTATTCTCTGTGCTCTTTTCCTATTTCTGTGTAGCACAGTTTTTTGCTGCTATTGGCATTGCTTTATGTTAGTCACCAGTGAGTATTATTAAGGCCAAGTCCTAATGCTCTAGATTTTGAAGGAATCGTCTCTGGTTAATTCCAGCAGAATCCCTGTGAGATATAATTACTCTGCCTTTCTGTTTATGAATAGAATAGAGTTGCTGTGAATGCACTGAGCTTTTAGAGAGCCAAATGAGTCTCCAAATTTCTTGGTTTCTATGGCAGGAAGCACTCTAGGGCAGGGAGAGGACTGGCTCAGATGCCATCTTCTTGGCACCCTGTTGAAACTGAAGAGGTATGACAGTCCCATTTTGTTGAAGAACTATGGGAAGTGAGAGGGCAATGTAGCAGCCCCACTTTCCTTGTGCAGGAGTCTAGGAGAGCGAGTAACAATCCTGGTATGCTCAAGAATCTCAGCCTTTTTTTTTAGGGTCATCTAACAGCAGAGTGAGGAATGCACTGTCCATCTTGGCCATGGTCTCGTGTCTTGGAATTTATTTTTCTTCCAGATTTTTTCTTGCTGTTTCTGTTGCACTCATGATTACATCTTCAGACATGTATCTCCCTGCAAGCTGTGTATTTACGTCTGCAAGTGAGTGGAGATCAGTTTAATAACTGCTCCTGTTTAAGTGCAGGATTGGATATTTTACCAGCTCATACTTTGGTTCTTATATTCTGCTTTTGCCTTCTTGCTTAAATTCCTGATTTTCATGTGCACTTTCTACAGGCATTGAACTCTTCCTTCAAATATTTCACTTCGGAGCTCACTTACAGTGTCTCTCCTGATCAGATCTAATTTAAAGGGTGGGGCTGAAGAAAGGGTGTTCACTTGGAACAAACATTTGAGGCAACTAATTGAAAAGAGAAGATTCTCATTTAGTGTATGTTGCAGTGCTTTAATTGACAGAAATGAGGTCTTAACAGCTTTCACCAGCTAAAGATCAGAGCTATTTCTTCTATATCACATTCCATGCTGTTGTCAGCTACTAGATTTAGGGCTATCAATATTGCATAGATTTACACATCTATGCAGGTCTTTTTGCTGACTATACGTTTAATTTAATTGATTGTTTTCTTTCTGCTGTGTCTACCTTGCACAATTAGTAACAGCAGTAACAATAAAAATACTGTTAAGAAGTAAAGTAAGGATTTTGAAAGGTCAATATTACTGTTATTAAACTCCTGCTGGAACCAACAAGACTGTAGGTAGCAGCAGAAGAAAGTCAGTGACAAGACAGAGCACATCTCTTCAAAGTAGTGATTGTTGTTCAGTGATGATTTCCATGAACCATTCTGCTCTGGAACCTGGTGCCAAGGGAGTTCACATATAAGTAGTATAAACACAGTATAAAAATTACCCCCCAGATTTTCCAGTACTTTGGAGATAATCTGACATTTCACATGGCACATAGTGTGTCTAGTAGTCAGGGATGCTGCTTAGTGGTGGGCAGCTCCAGAGTATCTTACTGATTACAGCACCACTTTCCATGGCCCTTTTATTTAAATGACATTTTTATTTAATTTCTAAATTAAATAAGACTAAGCTGGATAAAACTTTCTTGCAGAAAACATTTTCTAACCAAGAAAATGTTAATAATTTCATTTTCATCCTAGCTCTGCAACAATTTATATAATAGGAATAAATATGAAAGGCTGATATGCAATCAAAGATCTAAGGTGAGAGGCTAAGAGAGGGAACCTCGTAAATTGGTTCTGTTGTGGAAGAAAACATCACATGTCTGGTGTGTGTGGCACCAACAGAGGGGCTGTGGTCATGGTTGTCACCTGCTAATTCACTTCCATTTTGCCCTCTGGTAGCTTTCAAGGAGATTAATGCGGACTCCTAAATGCTGAGTACTCAAGATGACTGGTTTACTTCTACTCAGAAGCCTAAAAATGGGGTGCTCTGGTCTTAGAACTGTGTCCAGAATGTTTTTCCAGGTGCATCATCAATAATTTCAAGAGTTTTAGAATACACAGGAGAAAGCTGGGGTACACTAACAGACTTCTTTTTTTTCTTTGTAAATTGTCAAAGATTCAATTTGTGCCAGTGTTCCTGGCACAACCTCTAGGATTTTAGTAGAAGTTAAGCCTCTTCCTGCTTTTGGGAAGTCATTCAGTTGCTAGTAGAACTGATCTAAATACTCATTAGAAGTAACACACTCTACAAATTTCGTCCAGCTGGCAAATTGTGAACAAAAATTTTGATTTCTTTGATTCATCTCAACAGATACTGATATCAACAGATAAAAATATCAACATATATATCCTAGAAGACATGAATTATTTATAGTGAGTGAAGGTCTGAAAAGCAATTTCCTTTTGGAGACATGTGACTGGCCACATGAGTGACATGGTGTTCTCTCATCCCTGATAGCGTTAGCATTTTAATTGCTTATTTGATCTGATGCTAGTCTTGATTTTGACGAAGTCTCAGTGATAGTATCAAGCCCATTCTCACTGAACATTCTTTCCTACAAAGCTTCAATGTAGTGAAAGCTTATGAATAGAGAGACATGAGCCAGACATTTCCTATTATTTGGCCTATTAGCTGATAAATGCTCATGTACTTTCATCAGCTTCAGACATGACTGGACTGAAGACTTCAAATCAGCTACATCCTGGTAAATAAATTCAGGTATGAATTTAGTATGAAAGAGACTTCAGTATGAAGTTGCTATTTTTGATTGTTATTGTACTGTATATATCCATTTAATTTTGAAAAATCAAAACGACGACTTCTCCAAATGTATTCATTGCATGCCCTCTTATGTTTAAGCTAAAAAGTGAGCCAAGCAGCAGCAAGCAACATCAACATTTCTGTGTGCCAAAGAGGCAGTGAACTGCCAAGCCCAAGGACAAGCAAGACAACCATGCAGCTTAGTGAGTGGCTCTGTACTGCTGGATTATGAAGTCCAGACAGAGTTCTTCTCCAACAGAAAATGACTGTTGAGAACAATACGGTGATGGGTGGCACTGGAAGAGGAAGCTAAAATTTGACTAATGCCTCTGCTTTCCAAGAAAGAGAAGAAAATAGCTGTATTAATGTTCATATACAGGTGTGTGGGTTTGCAGTGCTTCAGTACTCTCTGACCAATGTAGATACGGGCAGGGCTAACTAAAAACAGATGTTCATGGAAGATTAATGAGTGTTTGCCTTATTCAACCCAAGCATATCAAATTGGCTCATCTTGTTTTGCCACTGCATCTGTAGTGGAGGGTTAACTATGGTGTACAACCAGCATGTCCTTCCAGTGACTCCCTTGCATGTGTTGAATGGTGAACTGCAATGTAACTGTGGTGAGTCCTGACTGCAGCTATTGATGTGCTTCATGGGAACCCTGTTGACAGTGACTCCCTGCTTTTCTTTTCAGTATGTCTGCTCGCAGTGCCCAAAACACTATTTTAAAGATAAAATATATTATTATTAATTTTTGCTCTCTCTCTGGTAAAAATAATTTTCATTAAAAATACTGGAGATGTTTACTTATTAAAATCTTTTGTTGTCAGAATAATTCTCAACCTGGCAGTATTTTAAAAATCAGTATAAGATGACATTCTGGGAAAAGCAGCAAACAATTTAAAATCTGGACTAAAAACAGCAATTCTACTGATTAAGTCCTGATATTGAGTATGCTTTTACAAAAAAAAAGAAGTACTTGATTACGAAGAGTAATTTTGAAGGTATGTGTGAATTTTTGGCCTTTAAGTAAGGCATTTTATTGATGCTATCAATTAGAAGTTATAAACTGGTATAAATGTTGGCCTGAGAGCTCATCTTTCCTAATCAGTGCTCTAGACTGAGTGTGCATTTCTCAGTGAGGTAAGTTCAGATCTATGTATATAAGTACTTATTCAACTGAGAGAAACCTCTCTAATTTTATGTCAGAGGCTGCAGCTCAGATTAAATTTGGGCCAAGTAATTAATGGCCAACCCTCTCCCTCCAGTAACTTACAACTTTCAATTTCTAGAGTGCAGTTTTGTTCATCCAGAGGATATCTTCGTAGATCCATCATGCAAGCAGCTGTTGTTGTAATCCTATAAGAGGAGGGTGAAAAAAATCAGTTTTGAAACCACATTTGATTTATTTGATTAGGTAAATCTTTCTGTAGTGTATTTTTTTTGTTTAAATACTGAACAGCAGTGCACATGGATTGCTGATGTACAAAACTGCTTGTGAAGCATGATTAAATAATTTATATAGCACAATACACCAAATATAGTATAAAGCTTAAAAGCATACACTAAATATCATAGGGTAGGATTTTGACAGAAAACTTTAGAAGAAAAACTGTTGAGTGTTTTAAAGGACATTTCTTGAGGTTTCTCTTTGGACATTGCATTTTTAGTGTTCTCAATTCAAACATCTTCAAATTGGTTTGCACATATTTTTATTTATAACTGGTACTGCAATAGTTCCATTTTTCATTCTGTTGTCATGTAATGCTTTCTAAGATTTGTCTGATATGCATGTGCATTTTCCATGCTGTGGAAGCACTAGTAGCATGTGAGTCATTATTTTTATGGTTTCATAATCAGTTTATCAGTATGAATAGTATATTGCCTCTCAAAATTGTATTAGGCAATAAAAATCTTATGGAATGTCCATCACCTGTTGGTTACTTAAGAAAGTCACTTGCAGTGGTGCTTTCAAACTCACAGAAGTGAGTTTGCATCTGCAGTTTCAGGTTTGTCTTTTTGTTTGTTTGTTTGTTTTTTGTTTTTGTTTTGTTTTTTTTGTGATGCTTACATGCTTATAAAACTTTGGAAGTTTGAATGGGCAAACGTGACCTGAAATTTAACTGGCCTCTCTCTCCTTCTCTTGAAAAATTCCTTCCTGAGAAAGATTCCTCTTTTCTGGATCTAGATGTGGTTCTATTTCATGGTAATTAGCACCACAGGAGCACATCTGGAGATTTTACTTTTGATGTGATGGAAGTCAAGCACACTTACATGCTGCACTGGGATGATAATTTGTGCTGTCACAGAACTGATAGAATAAAAAGGGGGGAAAAAAAGCCATGCGTCTCTTTATTTTGACATGCTTCAAATTTCCTAATTCTTCACAATCCATCTGTCTACTTGTGTATAAGAACTGTCTAGCAAGTGCTGTGACAGAGAAACCAGCCCATGAAATTACTGCATAATACTGTGTAAAGTATGATATTTCTGCTTTTCCACCGAGATTGATTTTTGTCTTGAGTATTGCTCATTGAATTGATTTACATGTTTCTTAATGGCTTTTGCTGAAAACTTCAGAACAGGTAGGACTTCATTTAGTTTAGCCTTGTACAAATGTATCTTACTCAGAGACACTGAAAAAACCATGCAGTAATGATTTGTCAGAACTCTACTTAATAATGCTGAAGATCGTACATAACTAACATTAGTCACAGTTAAATGCTTCTTAATTAAGGTTTCATAGAGCAATGTTTTGTTCCCAATTAACAGATCAGCCTTTCAGGTAATTTCGTTCACCTGGATCAGCCAGATTTATTTAAATGTGTACAGAAGTAGACATAATGTTTTCTAGACCACAGGGTTACAGTGGCCAGCTGTTTCTTAATGGCCAGTGTGTATGTACTCCTGACTTCTGCAGTTTTGAATATCTTACATAAGCAGCAGCAATTTGTCATTCTTAATAATATCAAGAATTTTTTGTTGACACAAGGTAAGTGTTCAGTAGTAAACAATGGGGAGCAGCTTTCCCTCTCATGACTCTCCTACCCCTAAGCTTTCTGGTGCTGCAGCAAGCAGCTGTTTCTAGATGAAGAGGGCTTTAGCTGAAGTTTGCAGAGATGATAGCCACATAATGCTAGGTGGGAAGGCCAGTTGGGGAACACTATTAGGCAGTTAGGAGAGGGTGACTTTCAAGATGTGGAAATCTGAAAGCTGGTCACTTCCCATTTCCCCTCTAGACCTGCAGCTTTGAACATGGTATGGTGTCCTGGGCACAGGGGATGATGAGTAGCACCCAACCAGGGGTTCATCAGAACTTGAACCTAGTGCTCAGGTGGATGGGAAAATGCAGATGATAGTTACTGGAGGCTCATCCAAAATGGAAGGAGGCACCAACGTGCTAACTATGTGGCACCTCTTAAAGATGGAGGTGCTTAATTTTTATAGGGATTCTTGGGCTTTCTTGACAATAGCTACTTGTAATTGCAGCATACCATATGTGTGGTTCATAAATTTATTTTTCAAGCATTTTTTCTCCATCATGGTAGATCTCAGTTGTGTAAAATTTTTAATGATATTATGTTCTGGGTAAATTTAAAACTTGCTTAAGGATATAAATAAAACACATATGCTACCATAGTAATTGCTGCCTTGATATAATTTTTATTATTGTAAGCAGAGTAAAACATGCATACCTGTTACTGGATGCATTCTCTCGGTCAAAGTAGTAGTTGATGGTTTACATATGAACCAGGTAGATATGAAAATGCAAAATATGAAGTTCAATGGCAAAAATGGAAATGCAATAGTCTTTCTATAGGACAAAACCACAATAAAATTATATTAAAGGAATTTAATCCTGAAAATCCCTGGGCACGAGTATTTGTGATGATGGTGGAATGTCATGAGACACCGTAAAAGTGAAAGGGGAAGACTAATCCTGTGTTTGTAACAGGTTTTATTTATATCTCAAAAGTTGGGCGTGGTTTTTCCAGGATTTCTGTTTTATTAACTGTGCCTTAATTTAGGTATTACTTCAATGTTGAAGCAAATATAATCTGTTTGTGCATTGTTTTCTACCCTACTTTCTTTACATCCTTTTGTTTATTCTGAAGACAAATGATTAAATGTAATTAAACAAAGAAGGTAAGCAGTTCTAACAGGCAAGAGAAATAATATTTATGAAACGCAAAAAACTTTTTTTTTTTTTTTTCAAAATAATTTATTGTATTTCAAATTATCTGATTCACTCCTAGCTTTTTCTTTTTTTGGGTGTGTGTGACTCTATGAATACCATATTCTTACTTATAGTCAAATTATTCTGGACTAAAATAAAATTGTATGAAAGAAAAACAGTGCTGTCCAGTATTTGCAAAACAGGCCTTCTTGTGTAATACTGTCAGAGGTTTCCCTGTAGGGCAGTAAATCTTGTAGTAACAAGTGCCAAAGCTGAATGTTTTTGGATACATCAGCAGCAAGCAGTTTAAGTTCAGAATGAGGGCAGGAAGTGAAGTTGTGTTTCAATACTTGGAACACTTCATCAAAATGTTGTCAAAAAGCTATTCTTCAACTCTCACAGAAGAAAGAAAAGCAATATTTAAGACAGGAAGAACAACTAAATGTGGAGATGATCAGAGCTAAACAATGCAAATTCTGTTCTGAGATGTTTCTTCCCAGTTGGAGAAAAGGTATCAAATTTTAATGTTTGTTCTTTTTCTCTCAGTCAACAGAGAATAAATTATAAATATAGATGAGGATATGAACTGGGGTGAACTCTTTTAAGGGGAAGGAAAAAGAAAGCAAACTGAAATTTTCAAATAAAATTAAAAGTAGCCATGCTTCTGTTAATCACTGCGGAGCTTGGGGGATTGTATTACACACTGGAAGTACATTTTCATATCCTAGGTAATATATTGCTTCTGTGTTAATGTAACTTCAGTAATATCAGGGAACTTACTCCTATAGGAATTTTTTTATATCAGAATTCATTCCTGTATCCCTGGAGTAATTGTCCTATTTGTCTCTTTATATTAGAGATCTAATGGGATGTCTTGTAGGCAGAGTTATTGAAGGGGTAGAAGAAGGCGTTGTGCATTTAAATATGCAATTTTTTCCTTCTCTGTCCATGCTATGTACAATGTTGTTGTGCCTACTGTAAATTTCAAAGCAAAGCTTAAGAGATTAGTGGCTGTCTGCTTGTCCCAGGGAGAAAATATCAGTTCTGACCCTGAAAGCATGCCCAGCTTCAAGTGCTGTGAGGAACCTGCTTACAAGAGAAATCCACTTACAAGAGGTGTATCTGAGCATTAGCAAGGGTTGGTGTTATGTGTTTTATACAATATAGTGTGTACTTGTACATGCTGTGTTCATCAATCTGTGTATTGCTTGTCTGATCAAATTCTATTAGAAAAGAATTTACATTTGTTAATAAGTTTAGGATGAGCCAGTGTCTTCAAAGATCTCATTAGAAGTTGAGAGAAAAAGGGATGATTGGCTCCTGAGCTAGATTTAGTAAGAGATATAGGTACTTTGTTTTAGAGATGAGTTTATTAACATTTTTTTTTCTTTATTGGGAAACAATTATAATTTGGCTTTAATTTTTTTTTTTTTTTTTTTTCCTCACAAAAGCAGCAGGAAATATATCTCTGACTCTATGACTCCAGGGAGACAAGCTGTTAACCACCAGATCAGTACTGCAGACTATGTAGTTTGAGATAACGCTCAAGTTTATAAGAAGAGCATTTGTATGGATTTAGGTTAGCAAGTGCAAAATACACTTTCTTTTAATCTTTGCTCACAGAAACAGTAGAGTCTCTTAAGAATGAAAGATAAAAAGCATCTTGAGGAAGAAGAACAGAGAAATATTCAGCTCAGAGGGCTAAAACTATAAGCAGCTGAGACTAGGATTTAGTGTGAGAAGGCTTCAAAATGTTTTATCATATTTGGTAGTTTTATTTATGTTTTACAAAGTTGAGACCAAGAAAAATTGCTTACACTCTTCCTGGTTTAAGTGATATCCTGAACTAGTGAGAGTTTGCTTGATTTGCCTCTCCTCTGTGTTTTTTGTTTTTTTTTTTAATTGAAAAATAAAACTTTCAAAATAGTTTAAATCTCTCTTAGAAATTGTATGGTGTGCCTTTCCAGGAAAGGTGTGATATTATATATCTGTATATGTACATATATGTATGTCTGGGTAAGTAAACATGCTGTTTATGCTTTGTTTTAAGCAGGGGGATATTTACTGCAGGTAAATAGAAATTAGATCAAAGCTTTCTCCCAAGCCTTCGTTAGAATTTTGTTGGATTTGCTTTAGGCAGAGCTGCCAAGCCAACCATTGACGCTACAGTGATCAGTCAACC